TGCCTATATATTTAGTATTATCACTATCTTTGATCCAGCTCTATCAGAGCACATCGGACGTCAGGAAACGACCGTGCGGACGTTGGAGAAGTACCGCTTGCCTTTGGGTAATTTTTCGCGTTGCGATCTCCAGCAGTCAAATGTGCGAAGTCATAACGTGGTGGTGTGCTTTGTTTTTTGTTTATTAAAGATCAGCAAAAAAGGAAAGGCAATGACAGGGAGGAGAAAGGATCCCGTGTGGAAATATTTTAAGGAGACTGATGCCAAAGCTGGCTCGAAAATAAATAAAAGAGCAAAATGTTTAACCTGCAATATGGATATAGTGCCTCTGGTGGCTAGAATGCGCAACCATATTAAAAATTGTAAACAACTTGAACAAGGAAGTTTGTTAGAAAAACAATATTCATATATCAGATAGTTCTGATACCAACAATGATAATGTTTCTACCGAACCTATTTCCTCAAAGTTAAGTAGCTTGGAGAATTGTGAAAAAGGTAAGAAATACCTAATTGCTGTTAAATTTTGTTTAAATATGTTAAATATATAAGAATTAGAATAAAACGGTTAATCAACCGCATTGAATTTTTAGATGTTATTACATACAGTAATGGACAAAAGTATATAGACAAATTAATATTGTGCTGTATTTCTTTTTTAACTTGTTTTATTAATACACCAAACTTTTTACTTAATTCGTTATAGCATAATACACACTCATACATAAATAAATTCATTAGACTCCCTTCAATAAAAAATTAATTGAAAAAAACTGGAACTATGGAGAACAAAAATATATAGACAAAGCAAAACAGTTGTAGAAAAAAGAAGCAAAGAAATCATTTTGTAAAAAGGTTTCATATGGCTATGTTTCCAGCACACTGTCTGCTAAATATACTAGATCATCGATTCCAAGGAATTAAATTGAATCTAGAGCAACGCGTAGAAGGTCTTGAGTATGCCTCTCGTTATTATCCTGAAGCGATGCCTTTTATTGTAAGTTATCAGGCAAAAACATCACCATTTAAGGATTATTGGTTTCAAGAAAATTTGAAAGGCCTCACACCACTTGTTTGGTGGAAGTCCTTGAAAGATAACTTAAATGAAGTTACAGTTGACCTAGTTCAGCAGCTTCACACAGCAGCTGCTTCATCTGGTGGGCTTGAGCGCATTTTTTCATTTGAGATAATCCACATCAAATTTCGTAATAAGTTGGGCACAGAAACGACTTTGTAAATCATGTCTTGTGGTCCAATGAGAGTAGGTTTACGAATTGTGGAGTTTTTAATAAGCACTCATCATTGTGCAGTGGAAAACCCTCTCGAAGTGGCAGAGAGACGTCTACAGACCAGATTTGGAACTGACGTTTGGTGTGGGGTCATTGGTAATTTAATCTAACTCACCTTTTTTAATTGGGCACCTATTTGAAATTAAAAACACCCTAGTTATTGTGATACACTATTGCAGTTTTTCATTTTGGATATCTTTTTTGGCAATATATTTGTTCATATTTCCTATTATTAGTTATACCTTTTAGATATAAAGACTTCATTTGATTACTGATACTTATGTGTTTTGACATACAATCTATGAATTCATTAACAATTTCATGTATTATACAGGGTGTCCGCAAAGTTGGGGTTTTCCTTTACACGACGTGTAGATCTTGAAAACATAAGCAATTTTTCTTAGTACCATATACACCAATGTCTTAAGGGAACCGAGATAAAGGGCTCTGCAACATCAAAAATATCTGAATACCATCCTGTAGCCGCGACCCGCCGGGATATCCCCGACACCCCGACTGGTACAAGGTCTCAACCCGACGGCAGAACTGGGTCGGGGTCAGTGTGTCAGGTTAGTATGCAACCTTCAACCGACGGTTACAGTCACGCGCGTAGAGGTAAACGAACTCGTATAATCGATTGCGTTTCAAAAAACAACAAGCACTAGAGACGTGGCTAGAGAAGTGCAAGTATCAAAAGCTAAAGTGTGGCAAACGCTGCGTGAAGAGGGGCTGTATCCGTTTCACGTCGAACGTGTACAAGCCCTTTAACCTGACGATTTTCCAGCAAGAGTGCGGTTTTGTGAGTGGTTGTTGCATCAACATGACAATAATCCGGACTTTTTGAAGTGCATATTGGTGACAGACGAATCTACGTTCACGCGTAATGGGGTGAATAACTTTCGCAACACTCATGTTTGGTCATTTTCAACAAACATTTTCGGTGAATGTTTGGACTGGCATGGTGAACGGTATGCTCATTGGACCATTTATTCTCCCAAATCGATTGGACGGGATGCAATACCTAGACTTTTCACGCAACATTTTGCCTTCCTTGTTAGAAGATGTGCCATTAAGTGTAAGACAATCAATGTGGTTTCTGAGTCTGCTCGGTAGCGCTTCAGCTGATTTCATTTTCTGTTGGAGCGGTATGATTACGGGCAGAGACGTACTTAGCCCTTCTCGTCAACTGGAGAGTGAGTACTTTTTCCTTTATTTTTTTTTACTTGGTCGCCCTCGTTTCACTACACATTACCTTTGTTATTTCAAGGGTAGTTGTTTCTGAAAAGGAAAACCCCAACTTTGCGGACACCCTGTATTTTTCAGTTGCTAAGTATTTGCAGAATATAAATAAAAAAATACTTGGTAAAGTAAATATTTTTATTTTTTATTCTCCATTGTACACCAATAGAAATACAATAGGTGCTTTCAAAGAACCTAGAAATATAGATTTCATCAATTTGTAATCCTTCCTTTCTCTTGAAGCAAATGTTTTTCCTCTAGCATGATGTTACCTAGATTGTATGCTATTGTCAAAATTACAAGCTCAGTAAACAGGGCTAAAAGAATACATAATCAATTACAAACAAAACTTTCTAGTTTCGGGGTACATTAGATCAACTTTGGAACGTTAATTTAAATATGTTTCCTCTAATAACGTTCCTTACACTGGAATTATACTGTCCTGGAACAGTATCTTGTGCCCTGGGCTTGTCAGGATCGGATGTATCTTTGAGCAATGCAAGTAGATCTGAAAAAATACCATTACAGGTAATGCTGATTTCTTATGTTTTAGTCCTAAGTACCGATATAACCATAAGTGTTAAAATATGGATAGTTGTAGTCACCGTTCTTGCCAGGTCAAAGTAAGACTACCAGTATCTCTTTATATATCGTCATCTCCCTTATACATACACATGCAACCTACCACTATGTGCGAACGTTTGTTCGGTAAGCTCAAAGACATACGTCTTTTATTTGTGTGTTTCCGTCTCGAAAACTTTCGTATGAGTGCCCTTCAATCATATTTGGCAGAGTGACAATTTACTTGACATAGGCGTGCAATTTGAGTTGTCCTGTTATCAATCTTCAATATAAAATTGTATAATGCCCGGAAATTCGATCAATGGAGAATGTCGACAACTATATTTCATATAGCCTTTTTGTTACATCACTGGAATTTTATTTTTGTGATTGTCATCATTTGCCATTGAGTTGTCACTTATGTCAAGTATTCAATCCAAAACCCATGGCCAGCTTTGTGAGATCTTGTCAGATAGAAATGTCGATTACAATATTCAAGAAGGCACTTTTTCGAGTTTCGTGCGACAATTTAGCTATCTCACATGCAACATTAGCCATTCGATATTCGAGAATCCCCTGCCCAGGCCTAACAAAGCTCCTCTTGAAGTCGATAGACTGTCCGTCAGAGAAGCGTTATGGATCATTAAATGACTCTTGCGAAGCAATTTTAGCACTCAAGATAATTTCGACACGCTCTGATACCTGTCGCTGATTGTTTGACTTTCTCTGACCTGTCAGAAGGTTATGTACGAACAGCGGATTAGCTGTCGGAAAAAAGTCAGACCCTGTACGAACAGGGGTGCGTTTGTAAATCATTTGGCAATGTAATATCGTACACAGTAATGGAATGTAGATTGACATGAAATTTTACTCTGGAATACTGTGAAACTTTTTTTACAACTCCTGATTTAATACAGAGTCATGTATTGACACTTGATGACAGCCGACTAATTTCTAAGCACGTTTTCTGCGACCATTGTAGTTATTATAAGAGACCCTAGGTATACGAGATAGCATTTATCTTAAATAACATATATTCTGCCAATTTTGAGCAGTTTTTGAAATCTAAATAAAATAAATAAACAACCAACCAAGAGAATGACAAGTGACAGAACTCTTATTCCCAAGGTTTTGAGCTCGGGAAGAAAAGCACACCTTTGACGTTCCAGAAGAATTACTTTGTACTATTTCCGATCGCATGTAACAGGTACGTCAAACAATTACGAACGCTATAATTGTTACCGAGTAGTACAATTTACGAACGCAGCCCAGGTAACATCTCTCTGATCCTGGTTTTGACAGTCACCGACAAGTTACCGACTACTGTACGAACAAATAATATAACTCCTAGATATTTCTGGTATTGTATATTATCAATTTCCATGGCCCTAGACTGTAGTTTATATGAGAATTTGTCTTCCAAATATTTTTATAGAAACTATATCAATTCAAAGTTAAAAAATATTTAAAAAAAGTTTGCTCCTGTCTTCTCAAACGACATAATTTTTTTAGAGGTTTTATAACGACAGTTTTGAATATACCCAATCCTTATTCAACTTTCCATGTGCTGACACCTTAGAATTTTGCCTGAATGCTTATTTTGGCTATTATAATGATATTTAAACTACTTCAAAAATCAGCTGGTTCGTCCATCTTGGAAATTAGCACTGCAGAGAGCACCCGTGAAAATATAATTTATAACTTGAAGGAAACAGAAGTTATTTTAAAAACTTATAAGTTGTTGCCTATGTAATTAGCTTTAGGGCCCTACGCGGGAGATTACACGAGAGAAATACTTTGCGACATAAGTGATTTCTCTAGATGTAATACAGTATTATCAAAAGGGAATCTACAGAAATGTTTCTTTCCAAAAGATTTATTATAACATACTACATGATTTTATAAGCATCATGTTTACATTGACACCTCTGCGTTTAGTAGTAGTAAGTAGATAGAATAAGCAAATCGGAAGTTTGCCAGTTTTTTTACAATATTTTTTTTTATTAATTCGTAAATTGACATATCCATCTGTGGTGTTATTCGGCGGCTTAAACATGAGCCCCACCCCCACAGTTCTTCAATTTTCAATCGCCGGTAAGCCACTCTTCCCCATTAATCGAACAAAAAAACGTGGAGTTGTTATTAAATTGGACCATTACAGTGCTTTAAAAGGACCCGTCAACACGCCTATGGGTAAAGTGGTTTCGTTTAATTTCGCTAACTTTTTCATATGTTATGCGTCTTGGCGTCCTTTACAAATGTCTCAATTGGCATAAGCCCCAAAATTCAAGGTGCCCAAGATTCAGGCCGTCCAATCAGTATAATGGGGTGTCGGTTTTACTCGGTAGTCTGCTCTATCTAGAAGAGCGGTTTCGGTTAATGCGGCTGAATTTGTGAAATCTCGGCATCGTGAACAAATATCTCACAGGGCGCAAACCCCAAAATGTGATGGGTCCCAAGATTTAAGTTGTCCAAGTATAATGGGTTGTCGGCTTTAACTGGTAGAGTGGTTTTGATAATTTCGCTAAATTATATCATGTGATGTGTCTAGTCATTCTGAACCAGTGTGTTAACGGGCACATGCTCCAAAACTCAACGGGTTCCAAGAGATACGCCGTCCAAGTCAGTATAATGGGGTATTATACTAACTTGAATCGCCTATATCTTGCGACCTGTTGAGCCTTGGGGCCTATACCCATTAAAGCATTTGTTCAGGACACCGAGATACATAACATATAAACAATTTAGTGGAATTAACCGAAACCACCCGTCAACATAAAACAGATAGCTGAGTAGGACCCATACCCCATTATACTGACTTGGACGTCCTTTATCTTGGGACACGTCGAGTTTTCGGTCTATGCCCATTGAGACATTTGTTGGGGACACCAAGACACACAGCATATAAAAAATTCAGAGAAATTAACTGTAACCACTTTTTCGATAGGCGTGTTACCTGGTCCTTTCTCTGAATTACACAATGTCGCACAGAAGTTTCTCTGAGTGTTGTCCTTTAGATGACTGTATCTTCACAGGAGATTTCCGGAGGAGAGCCTGTGAGATTGTTTTTTTATAATCTGTTTTATGGATTCGAAAAATTGCCCATTCATTCTGGAACACTCTGAAATTGTAATATGGGTCACATACAATTATTGTAATGCTTAACACAATACCTTTCCTTACAGCTCCAAGAAAATGCATGAATATGAGCACCAGCAAGATAAGCATTTAATATTAGTCGAAAGGCATTGGGAGCTGTTCTAGAACATGCAACAGAAAGTAGGGGAAACATGAGAACAGATTATATTATCAGGCCCATTAAGGGTGGAGGAGCCTATTTAATTCAGTCGTTCATGCCTTGGTGGACGTTCATGTACTTGTTTGGTTTCTGCGATGGGTAAGAAATATTATTCTATTTATATCTTGTTCCACAACTGCAACCGAAAATAGAACGTACAATTACATACATATGATTTTATTCATTAAACATGATAGGGTAACATCTGGAACTTACACTGTGATGTTAATGCTGATAATCCCCCTGTTTGTCGGTCCGAATCAAATACACATATGTGTTTAAAATTCCGCTTTAATGTCCCAACGGCGACCGTTTTCAAGCACAGTTGACACTCTTTACAATGTATTGTTTATATGTCTTCCAGGTGACGCTTCGTTTTTTTTTTTCATTTACACATTAATATACAGTGTGTTGCTACCAGTCTCGACGGTCCGGTAACATGCTGATATTGCGCGAAGCCATCATTGTAATTTTAAGATGGCACCGCGCAAAACCAGCAAAGCCCGTGACCACCTGGGGTAGGTATTCGCGTTCCCAAAAAGACGTCAGTCCTCCAAAGCGACAAGCGAGCATGAGGTTATCTCTTCTTTTTTACTATAACAGACACGTCATCCTCGTTTATCGTCCTGAAAACACCAAAAATCATCCGAAAACGCGAAAATCTACCCAGATCTGTGGTCACTTTTTCTACAATTTATATGGGCCTTTATCCACTCGATGAAACTATAATAGTATACAGTTAATGGGAAAATAAATCCGGCAACTTTTCTATATGGACTTTATCGCAATTTCCTACAATGTTTACGTTTACTTTTGAAATCTTATTATACAGTTTCTTTAACAATGGTTATTCTAATTGTATGAATGGTGTGCAACTGCGTTTGTAAAACCGTTCGAAACTGAATTATAGTCTGTTGTGACGAATAAAGGATTACATGACCTACGGAAAATAGATAATTTTCAGTTTTTATCGTTTTATATCAAAGATCTTTAAGCTTTTGTTAGTTGCACTTTAAATCATGAATCACATTTTCTTGGTATTAACTGTTCCAATTTCCTCATGGAATCCTTTAGGGTTTTTCAAAGAAAGGAATGGTATTATAGCCACTCTCAGTCAGTAAACCTCGACAGTATCACCCTGTCGACCTTCCCTGCCCGAAGTTTGAAATACCTTAGAAATGCGGCATACTCATTAAAACTTCTCAGTGGCTCGCTACGCATCCCACCACGGTAATGTTTGCAGCCATTTCACCATGCTCGGTAGCGTTGCATTAAGTACATATACTTTCCTACGTACCGGGTGGGTCACATTAGAGCGATCAGTTAAATTTTTTTATGACAAACGTGGCCAAGAAAAATAACTGTTTTTTCGCAGACGTTCATATTCGTTTTCACGAGTATTATTTACGGTAGAATAATAGCTGATTATCTAGTCATATTTCAAAATTCCCCGTATCGGCAAATGACACGTTCTTTACACGTTACAGATTCATGTTGTACTTGCTAACAACTCTGTTATTTAAAAAAATTCATTTGCATACGAAATAAAAAAGGCTACAAGCAAGTTAGTCATTATTGCAATCGTTACAGACTAAATCAAATATGTCACTAATTGATCAGTTGTTCACTTCAGTAGAGGTCAAAATCTGAAATAGCTTCACTCGATAGTAAGTGTTTTCGACCTTTTTTTGTTATGATTTTATTGTAACTCGATTGTTTTAGGGAGAGGGAATGGTTCATGCTCATTGTAGTAAAGGTAACGTAACTTCTGATTGGCTTTATCGATTTTCCTGGTTTTGTTTCATTTAAAATAACTTTAATGGGCGTTCACCTAACGGAGGTTAGTTCGTTCTTCGTCCATTAGGGACCTTGAACTCTTCTCTCTCCTAAGCCAATTAAACTACAAAAAATGATGTAAAATACGAATACTATATAATGAATCTATTTTAGATATAATTTGTGAATGATGCATGTTTTCGGAAAAACGCCATTTCTAATTTTGAAGTTAGAGTTGCGCCCCGTAGCCCATAGCAGCCATTACAATTTTCAGCAATGTCTCTTGGGTACGTTTGTGACAAAATTGTCTTGCTTGCAGCTAAAGTTGAGTGGTTGCCGAGATACATCTTGCGGCCTTTATCAATGGCCCACCCGATACAACCCAGTTGGTTCCTCGGTCTGTTTTTGGCATCACGTACCTTTCTCAAAATCATTCGTCTCACTTATCATTTCATGTTTTAATATGTGGAATTAGCCTTATATTTCCTTCCTTTTACCGTTTTTAACTTTGGAGCCATTTATGTAGAACGGATGTTACTCTTTTGTCAGCATATCAATTGGAATACCAGCCACTACCAGCAATGCATCTGTAGACATTGTTCTATAAGTTCAGATTATATGCATTACCATATTTCACTGGGCTCTGAACATTGAGTGCTCATATTTCTTTTCCCTCAAAGCCTTGGCATATCTAGGGGTTCCTCAGATGGCGTTAGCCGAAGCAGGAATGCAACGACTTTAGTTGACTTACCAGTGGTGCGTCTTATCTGTTCAATCCTTCATGCGCGTAACGATGGACAATTCTTTATCGTACTACTAATAAAGAAGAAATATTGTCAATTTTGATGCTCAAAAGCCAAAAAAGGTTATATTCAAAAGAAGATTAGTGAAAATGGAAACAATTCTACATCACTATGGAATGCCTTGAAAGAAACGGAAATAAAAAAGAAAGATACCACAATTAACATGATAAAAAATCATATATTTAAAACATAAAAAGAAATTGCAAAAAAATTTGCAGGATATTTTTCTAATATAAGTGGGACACTCAGAAATAATATTTAAAGAAATTCAAAGTACACCTATAGTGAGTCTCGACAGAAAAAATTCACAGTAAATTCATTCTACTTATCGAATATTGATGGAAACGAAAATATTGAAACTATAATAAACGTAAAAACAAAAAATCGTTATGATCTGACAATATAAAAATGTTAGCTATCTATATAGCTAAACCTCTTACATAATTACATTATATTATTGGAACTGGAGATTATCCCAATGCATTTAAAACGGCCTTAATTACACTAGTACATAAAACTGGAAATCGAACTGCATAAATATAGACCAACTTCTCATATAGCCAGAGTTACCATCTTTGAAAGATTTGGATTACTTATTTCTATTTTGTGGCAGGATTAGTAAGTGCAGTAATTTTAAATGTTCGAAATTGGTTTTAGCACTACCAAAGACATACCACTTTACACAATAATTTGGATTATTTACCATTTTTTAATATGGGGGCCAAAAATCACGATTTCGATCTAATAACTTAAATATGTTTATATGCTCCTATAGCTGTCTAATAATGCCCCGCATTCAAAATGAGGACTCTGCTATTAGAATATCGTGATGCCGCCACACGTTAATCCTACCAGAGAAACCCGCTACACTTCCATTACACATTTTTACTCTTAAGAACCAGGTTCATCGAGAATTGGCCAGTAAGGTTGATCCTAATTTTTTCCAGGTTCACTAAGCTGGTCACTACCTTGAAGAGTTCAAAAATCTCTTACATATTTTTATCAGATGCAGTACCTCAGTATTTAGTGTTAGTAGTATAAAAGCAAATTTCTCACAGAAAGGTCCCCTCTCCAATAATTACCCAAATGGGACAAGTTTTACCATCTAGCCGCAAGTTTGTTGCGGGCAGTCTCAAAAGTTTCTTGCATAAAGTGTGTTTCTTAGATTTCTAAAAAGCACTTCGCGCCCACGCTCCCTGTAGTAACAATTTGGCAAGTGCTACTCGCCAAGCGCAATGTTATTAGATGCTGTCTTAAAACTTTCGCACCTAAAACGCTAAAGCTACAACTATCTGCTTCCCACTGCTTTCCTACTACAAAACCCATTTCATAAACCAAAAAAACACACCTTACAGTTCATCTCGACTTACGTAATGCCGCTTGAGTAGGTCTGACAGCGTATCGTCGGCTGGTGCTGATTATTATTCTCCTATAAGAAATATACAGGGTTCGGCAATGAAACGGGAAGATTTCGTAAATAATTTTATTGTTGAAAAAATATTTGTTTGTAATTATTAATACCTTAATGAGAAATAATAGAGTAGCCATTTGATATAAAATGCTAAAAATTATATTTTTTGAAAATTACATCTGTCAAATGTCCTCCGTTGACACCTATGCATTCATGGAGTCGAGCCTGAAAGTTCTGCATAACTCTTTGCAGCATATGAACAGGTATTGCTGCAATCTCGTCACGAATTCGTTGTTTGAGGGCCGGCATTGTCCTGGGTGGATCAGTTTCAAACACTTTAGTTTTCAGATAACTCCATAAAAAGAAGTAGCAGACAGTAAGGTCGGGAGACCGAGGGGGCCAAGCAAATCCGCGTTTCGAGAAACGACACGCCCTGAGAACAAAGCATTCACCGCATTAGTTGAAATTCTTGCAGTATGGCTTGTTGCACCGTCTTGTTGAAAAAGTGTGTTTTCATTAACTGGAAAGGGGTGAAGTTGAGGTGTGAATGCTTTGCAGGCATTATCACCAATTTTAGCAGATTATGCATTGGATGACCTGCTTGATATTGTATATATAAAAAATACGTAGATGACATAATTGTTTGCCTACCATTTGAAGGTTTGTACGATATTGTATATGTTTTTAACAGTTATGATCCCTATATCCAATTCACCATAGAAAAAGAAGATGATAATCAATCTGTTCCATTCCTGGACTCAAAAATCATCCGAAACAACAATATCTTAATGGTAGACTGGTACATGAAGCCTATGGCATCAGGCAGATTCCTGAATTTCAGATCCTACCACAAACTTAAGATAAAGATAAATCTGGTGAAACAAATGAAAACAAGGGTCACTAGCATTTCTTACAGTACTTTCCCTCAACTTACGCAAACTCTCAACACTCTTCACGAATAATGGTTATTCAAAATACCTGACAAACAGAATCTTGTTCAGCTCTCCCACTGCCATACCATGTTCACAGAATAATGATAACAAAAATCCCAACCTCTCCAATAATAACAATGACAATCCTCCTAATGATACAGATATTCCAGCTATTTCCAGAATTAGTTTTGCAATACATTAAAGATTTAACAACAAAACTTTCTAGATTTTGCAACACTTTAAATTGCCGCATTGCTTACAAATCCTCACTCACAGTCAACAATGTTTTCTCCAAAATGAAAGATAGAGTTCCTCTGCTTGGCTTATCCAACATCGTCTACTCCATCAATTGTAATAATTGCAATCTCACATACATAGGTCAAACTTTAAGATCCCTTAAATGTAGAATAACCTCACATAAAAGTGATGCTAAACTGCATCCAGAAAGATGTGCTCTAGCTTCACACGTCAACTCCATAGGGCATCAATTGAGATACAATGATATCAAGGAGCGGGACAGAGAAAATCATCTATCAAAACGCCTGTTTCTGGAAATGTCATATATCTTCATGACAGACAATTGCATGAACAAAAAAGCTGATGTCAATCAACTTAGCGAAAAATTGGAAAAGCAACATATCTTCCCCAACATCGATTTCTCCCAATAATCGCTCAATTTACATAAAATAATTCTTCACTATCTTAATAAAATCAAAATCAAAATTGCTCAAAGTATTTTGTCCTCAAGTGTGAATATCCCCTACAGATTTCTTAGTTCTGTGGTAGGATAACATCCAAATCACACTCCTTCCAAAGCAACTTCTATCAAGTTTTAAAAATATCTCTGTACTTCATCGGTCAATAATAGCGACATAATGAGTGACCTTCCAATAATGTTCAATGTCACACTTCATACGCCGCTGTAGAATGTCAGTCGGCCAGCACGTCTTGGGTAATGTGGAGGTTATCAGTGAAAAAAAGATGCAATCTCGAAGGAATTTTCAATGGTTGACAGT